CTTGGCCAAAAGTAGCGCTAAACCTGTCCCAGAACCACCCAAGTTCTCACTTTTACAGGCCTTGCATACGGGTAAACTGGACGAAATCATTGGACGTGAAAAGGAGGTTGAATTTCTTCGAAAACTTATGGAAGACTGTATTACACAGAAGAAAAACGCAAGTCTTTACATCAGTGGAGCTCCGGGAACTGGGAAGACTGCCACGGTGACCCAGGAAGTACAGACTCTGTTGACAGCCGGAAGGTGCCAAGCCATCTTCATCAACTGCATGCAGTTGCAAACACCGAAGGCTGTTTTTGCTTGTATTCTCTCCCAACTGAACCCATCTTCCTCGCATCACTCGTCTTCTTCATCGGTAGAAAATGTAGTGGCTGCCGTAGAGGCCTGTCTGACGAAAAAATCGCGTCGCCTTCCTTTAATCCTCGTACTAGATGAAATCGATCAACTGGCAACTGCGTACCAGGACATCCTCTACACGTGAGTTTTTCACCTCTTCCATCGCGTCCTTGCTGGGAATGATTGTAGTGCCAGCTAATTTTACCTATGCAGTAAGCGCCTTTTTAGTGGAAATACTAATTTGAGGTTGGGGTTGGAGCCACAGCCCCAGATAAAACTCCCTCGGTATAGTTTGTAGGCCCTTAAGTCAGCATCTTGCTTGTCGATAATGCTTGTAAACAGCATCCACTGCTTAGACAGGATATGGTTTTCTACGGATTTTTGATGTCTGCATGAATACAGTCCCGTTTTTTAGGAAGGCAATCTACTTGAAGCCCGGTACCTTAAATATGGACCTGAGACGTTTTTTGGAAGTGCAAATTTGATTATTAGTGGGACATTTTTGGGGACTGTTCATAGAGTTTATTGTTTTCAGCGTTCGTAATTCCGTCCACAAAGTACGCAATATGATCCATATCTACTGCACTGTTCTGCAAACCCCGGAGAGCTTCTTTAAAAGCTATTCGCATTTGCCTTAAATGGCATACCTAGCATGTAATTTGTTAACCTTAGGAGCATATAGGTTGTGTCTCGAAGTACGCTTATTAAAACCAAAATACTTCCTGCATACTTTTCAAAATTTACATTTATTGACTTTATGCAAGCATTGAAAACCACTGGGAGTAATCTTCACCAATTAAGTAATGCTTTTGCTTCCAGAGCAATTTACGTGAGTGACTTGAAAAATATGCTCATTTAGAAGTCAGTGCCCTACTGTTTTGGAACTGACTCAAGCTTATTCCATTCGCTAATCGGCTCTGCAACCTAAAGTACGTAAACGCTTCCATATGGAGGCAAAGTGGACAATTTGTGGCAATGTTTTTGGCGTTTTGACGTATACTGTAATTTCAAAACTTAATCTTCTTTTTTCTCTCCTTGCTGTTCACATTCCTTGTACGTGTTAGTTTGCCTTGAGCTAATTCTTGAAATTTGTGTGCGTATTGCCAACTTTCAGGAGGTATGTTTGTAATCGTAGCAAAATCAAGTATAATCAGTGGTCATATTTTGTGGAAAGTCTACTGCTATTGCACAGAACTGGTACTGCAGTAAGATTCGTTGTGGTACTTTCGTTTAATTATATGTTTTTGCAGTTGTGCCATTCTATCCGTTTTCCTTTCTTACAGAAAGCTATTTGAACTGCTTTTATGCAGATCTCTTCTCAGAGCTGACAAGAGTAACCTGGGAACTCCACTTATTTATTTTGCACTAGTTTTTTGCAATTAAATAAATGCCAAAAAAGTAAACGCAGCTCTTGATGTTTGACTGCCGAAACTTAGTCGCATTTCGAGGCCATTTTCTCTGTACAGTGGCCCTCGAGTGACGAGCAGCTCTATCTACGCGCATTTCAGGTAACTAGCGAGCCACTCACAGAAAATTTGTTCCGATTGACGAGCTTCCGCTCAGTTAACGAGTCGTTAATGAATGCATGTGCGTGCCAGTGTCCGCCGCTGAGTCTTTCTCGCAGGGCTTGGGTCCTCGGCCGCCCACAGCCATTTAGTGGACTGATGCAGTTTGGTTGACTATGTTTCGTCTTGGCTGGAAGCCGTACTAATACTTGCATTGGGTGTAAGTGGAATCCGTAGGAGGACGACTGTGAAGACTTCAGTGGCAATACTGCGAAGATGATGTTAAGATGATACCTGCACATCGTCCTGCTTAAGGATCGATGCAAAAAGGGCTTCTTTCCCCTATGCTAATCCAGTCTCTGCCTGTTACGGAGACGGGATCCTCCATGCACTCACGGCAGTCGCCGAAAAGGACAGACCAAATGCGTCATGCACGCAGTCCATGCTCCTCCGGTGCGCCACGCCTACATGCATGCCGCCCACGCCGTGTGTCGAGCAAACCAGACGACCAACCACATGGCAGGGGCAGTAGTCGTAGTCGAGCTTAATGTAGAATGTCTGCTCGCATACTATACGCTAGGAATATTCTGGAAAGACCGGAGCCATATAAATATGCCGGAGTGGACAAGCTAAAGGACGACGCCGACGACTCAGCAGACCCCGCACGCCACACAGTCTTTGCGTACTGTTGAATACAGCCATTGCCTATCAGAACTGCTCTGTTGCCTTCTTCTGCCTATTAGTCGGGTTCGAAAAACTGGACTATAACACTGTCTCTCTTGTCCGCTTTTTGGCATTGCAGGAATACAGGCATCTGGATCAGCCACGGAGACCTCGACC